AGGGGGATATGTAGCTTTATGTCCAATAGTATTATCAGACTTATTTGGAGAGGACAGCATTGCAGATTCTTTTGGTTTTAGCTGCTTTGTTGGAGGAATATGTTCTCTCGTCGGATCGCCTTTTGCAGGTGTGTAATAAAAACTCATTTTCTCTCTAAAAGTAAATCTTAATTATTTAGGTCTTTTTTAACATTGAATAGAGCGGATGACATTAAGCAAATCCATAACGGATCTATTTGGGTAATCTTTCTCAATACATACAATATATAAATTGATCATTTATCTGTATATAAAATTGATATGTTTGGACAAGTTTACCATGAATTCAATTATTTCTGAGTATACATTTTGTAAATAAATATGGCAAAAAGTCGAAAATGCACGAAATATTTTTTTCTTTGGCAGGATGGCTGTTTGATAGGACAGGGAGATATGATTTAACATTCATAGCGACTGGTATTGGATTGGCTTTCTCAGGACTGATTATGTTCCTGATCCCATTATGTCGGCGAATGCAGCGTAGAAACATTCGACTCACAAAATGTATATGCTGAGTTTTATATTTTAGTGCATCTAATCCTTTGACACATATATAGAATGACCTTCATAGAAATAGACTACCTCGCAACCGAAGAGCATACCAAATCGACATGGACTTTAATTTATACTATGTATTTGCAATCAGGATTAACAAACAAAATTAATATTCCACTAAATTTGTGTTCATTACTATAGCACTTAGGCAACCTACCCGCCGCTAGTACCTTTGTAGATTTCACATACTCTCAGATATTTTTGACAGAATATCTAATCCGTTCACTGATATTTCAAACTATTAGGAAGACTGCTCCAGTAGCATAATGGTTAGAGCATCTGTCTCGTATGCAAGATGTTGCGGGTTTGAACCTTGGCCAAGTTATACCAAAGACTTAAAAATGGTACTAACAGTTGCCTCGCTTGGCACTCATATTAAGAGGTTAGTGTTAGGACTGGTGGTCGGCCTGGTGTCAGGATAATGTGACTAGGTGGAACATGATGCTACATGTCTGCGGCATAATGCCCAGTGCAAAACATCACTATAAACTGCCACACTGCAGACATCGCAGCGATGACTGTAAAAAGGCCATGTTAAATTCAAAAACACAAACTCTTACGATTAGGACTTATAATGTCTTGGAAATGCCTAACAACAACAAGGCATAGGAAAAAAAAAACAACCTTGGGACATACTCTACAGATGCTGAACACAAATAAAGACATTTCTACAAATAAATTATCTGATCTACTTATATTATATCTTTGCACTGATTGTTTCTAGGCTGTATTTCTTTATGCATCAAGAAATAAATAAATTCAATATAGCAGAGCCTTCAAACTTTTGTCAAGCTATAAATAAACAGAAGGTTAAAATTTTGAATATTATTTTACATCAATTAATATCTATCATAGAATTAAAGAATCACCATTGCCTGACAAAATTAAAAAGGAAAATATTGTCAAGTTCCTAGATGAGTTTTAAAATAAATCTCTTAAGTTTGTCATAGACAAACCTAGCATCTGCTCACAGCAGATTACATTGTTCATGTTAACATTGGTTACATCAATTTAATAATTTCTGTGTCAAAACAAAACAGTGGTTTAAGATATAGGCTTTCTCCAAATATGTATTTTATGTACTACTAATATAAATACTTGACTTGTCCAGATTTCCAGTCTTTGATTTCACATCGTAACTAGGAAAATATTTTTATAAAAAAAACTAACCAGAAATGGCATGTGACAAATTGGCGGCGTTCAAAACACACCAACCTCTTTCATTACGGTTCGTTGCTAGGAAATGACCTCCACGGTGTAATTTACCCAGTGGATATATAGAAGGAAGAATGCAGATCAATGAACAAGTATACTGAAGAAATAAACACAACGAGCCCCCTTTCCAAGAACAAATATAAAATTTAATCAGTTTATTAACAGAATTTAAAATGAAAAGAAATCAATTACTTGGTACAAAAGAAGGAAAATGGTACTAACATGTACTCAAATAAAAAGACAATACAAATTTCTTTAACTGCTAAAATTTCTGTCGACGTTAATATACTATCTTCATTGCCAACGAGATGTGACCTTTGAGTGCAATGATGAGAGACTTCATCACCTATTTTATGCGGACATCAAGACTTCCGTTTGTCCCTGCTCTGCCGATCTTTGTCTAGCTGTTTGGTCTTGGACTCTTGTCCGTCGAACTCTGATTGATTTAACAATCGTCTCTGGACTTAGATTTCGGCTTAGAATTTGCTCTGGTCCTGTGATTTCTCAGGTGAATCCAGGAAAGCTGTTTCCTTCAATAAATAAAATGTCTCGCAATAGACAATAGGTCACATTCCCAAGTGTATCTGTATTTCTTACATTAATTCGGCTCAGAAAACAAATGGCATAAATTCTGCCGCATGAACGTTAACTAACTCTCTGTTTACATAGTCGGTCAATGTTTGTCCTGACCTTAATTCGGGTCACGCTAGGGGTGGTCAATTAAATTCAACTCAGCCGTATGAACCCATATGTAACCCACCCCTTGACTTCTTTCTCTATCAATCTAGCAGTTTTAAGTTACATATGGCTTAGACCCTCAGATCTAACTATTCTAAAATAGTTTACTCGACCAATTAAATATTACAAACAAGCATATAGGTATACACTTAAGTGATCAATTAAATATTACAAACTAGTATATAGATATACACTTAATATTATGTCATACTCATTTTAGACAGAGTTAATCCATAAAACTATGAAACATTACCCGTCATTTATTAAGCTTAATTCATGAAAATTCATAATCACTCCTATGAATTAAAGATTCAATTACATGCAATCTTGTCAACTAATCTAATGAAATTTTAATTACGTTCAATGTTGCCAATTGATAATTGATAATTAGAAAATCAAAGAATAAAATGTCGTGACTAGCATTTCACTAAAATCCTGCAAAATGAAATCATACATACATCATATCAAGAATACATTTGCAAATAGATTAACAAATGAAATAACATATTAAAATCGGGAAACTAAGATTGTGTACCTTTTGCCGTTTTCTTTATTCGTCTCCACGAACCTCAAGTATAGTCCGTCTCCTGAGACAACTATATGGCCCCTTACTCAATAACGAAAACGTACTTTTTACGAATTCGAAGGTAGAATTTGTCTACTCGCTGAGACAACTCTCACTTTACTGCCAAATCACGAGATAACGTCTTTCAAGCTCCCGGAGTCCGGTCTAACTTTTCCCAAGAAAGATTGAAGACTGAAGAATTTTCCTAAAGTAAAACCTTTAATTTCTTACAGAGGTACGCCCATAAATCCATATTAACCAATCGGAATAGACTGTTCCCTAAATCTGTTCCGTAGAATTTTTGGATTGACAAGAAAACTAAATAACTAATCATGTCGTAATAAACGTTCCTTTGAACAATCACTTATGGCAAGCTTCCCCCCTTTAACCGTTCGATTTTGGGAAAGGGTCTTATGTCATTCTCTTGTACCATAGCGTATGACTCGGTCAAGTTACGTCGGCTGGAACGAATTCCCTTTTGACGTTCAGAGATTTAATGAAAATAATCATCTATCTCTAGCCCTTTCTACTTTAATTAAGTTGACTTTGATACAATTCCTTTAACCAATGTTTCTAAGAGTTTTCAAAATTCGACACATCACATGGCAAAACTATAAAGATCCCAAATAGGTATCTATCACCAGTCTAATGCCAGTCAACCATATCTTTGTGTATATACGATCTCTCTCATACCCTTTGTTTTTGCCAGTTTGCCATATTTTATTTTTTAGTCTAAGTTTTCTCTGACTCATGCCAACCCATTTTTGATCTTTGGATATTTACCCCAACATAAATATCCAAATATCAAAAATGGGGTGGGCAAGTGTCAGATGAAACTCAGACTAGCTTTATTCTTAAAGTCAACTGCGCATTAATTCTAAATTTATTTTGGCTGTCATTGGCAACAATCCTTATTGTCTGCACCAGGGAGTTTTATCCGAGACCGATTTCGCCTGTGTGCTTCAAATTAACCGTGAATAGCAAGTGATCGAAGTCTATTGGAATTCTTCATTGTTTGGTATCCTACCTTATTTGTTTTGGCACTTTTGTTGTGTGAATATGTGAGTACATTAAGTGGAATAATGACTGAGTTGGCAGTGAATCTGTTTTCTAATTATAGCTACAGATATTCCAGGATCCGTGAATAGCATATTCGGTCATATGCCTTCATGTATTTGGTCAATGCTGTAATATAAAAGCAAAAGCTTTCTGATTGGTACTTGGACCTTTTTGCCTCTACTTTGTCCTTTTTGCCTCTACTTTGTCGACAGACCATCTCTTCATGTAGTCAGTCAATGCTGTAACACAAAATCAGCATCTTATTGATTGGTACTTGGACCTTTTTGCCTTTTTGTCGACAAACCGTCTCTTCATGTCGTCAGTCAATGCTGTAATACAAAATCAGCATCTTATTGATTGGTACTTGAACTGTTTTGGCCTCTTTACTTCATAAACAGATCATCTCTTCTGTAGGCAAGCTAGTTCATCTTAGATGTACTTATTACATCCACAGTTGTTCAGCTGAATTACTTCCATGCCAGGCTCATTTTTGCTAATGGTTGGGGCTGTCTTCTTGTCTTATATCATCAGGTATAGAAGAATCTGATGCTCAGTAGCTAGAATGGAGTGTAAAGGAAAGTTTTATATTTATCCTGAACTCTCATTTTTTACAAGTGTAGACCTGATAACGTAGCTTTAAGACTCATTTTGCTACAATGTCTTCATGGTGACAGTTTACAGTGATGTCTAGTACTGGGACATCTTGCTGCAGACATGTTGCATTATGTCCCACCCAGTTCACATTATCCTGATACCAGGCCAACCAGTCCTAACACTAATTTCTTAATGCCGAGGCAGCTGCTAGTACCATTTCTGTAAGTCTTTGGTACGACTCAGCTGGGTTTTAAACCCAAGACCTCCTGCATCTGAGACAGACAGTCTAACCACTAGAATACTGGAGCAGTCAATGTTAAAATCTAAGTAAAACAAGGCTAAGCAAGCAGAGAAAACCAGTCTGAAATCAAATTACTATAATTCATAAATTAAAAGCTACATTAGAAACTAAATAAAATTTGTCGATTTTGATCATGTACATTTTTTAAAAAATTACAAAGTGCACCACAATAGTACCCTTTATTTCCACCCAGAAAAATTATTTTCTGGCTGATAAAAATCAAAGCAATTAGGAATCATTTGAAAGAGATCAAACAATCCAGAGCTGTTAAAAAATATACAACAGCACAGAAATGTTAAAGATTGAGCTTAGCATTGCAACATGTGTTGATACTGAACACTTGAAATAAAATTCAAGAGTTTAGTATGTCAAAGTGATATTCAGTGTATACCGCCAACTAGTGGTATAATTCTAAATAACTAAAAATTAGTATTTAAATATCAATACAGATATCTACTGATTAAGATTCAGTTTATGGGTTTTTAAACTTAAAAAAATATAAAATCAAATCAATCAGAGCAAGATTTACTTTATTCTTGAATAACAAAAAATAAGTCTCTCTGTGACTTTGTCTTATATAATGTAAATGAAAATTTAACGCAATTAAAGAGGCGCCATAAACAGATTAAATATAAGCATGACAGATGGACAAAGAACAAGGGATCCAGCATCTGGAGATGGGTTTTTATAATAACTGTAGCTTTTCCTTATGGGGTAGTGGGCCAGAGTGTCCAGTGTCCAAGTGGTCTAAATCACTCTCCGTTATGGATCACTGCCATTTCACCTTTGCATGGAGTCTAAGATTCCGATAATGTGGATATGTGAGAAAGCTTGCCATGAGCTTCTCTTGGGTCAGTGGTTCTTTACGCAGATTTCCCGATTTCTTCCTCCACCATTAATACTGGCCGCCATGTATAGCCTATCGTGTGCTGAAAAAATGGTGTTAAGCCCCAAAAGAACAACAAATTTTCCTTGTGTATCATTATTATGGTTGATAATATAATATTGGCAGCTCTTCACAAAAATATACAAAAAAAAGAAAAATGAAAAAATATTTTATTTACTCTATTTGTAATGATAAATTAGTCCCTACATTAGAGCAAACAATTGTTTTATTCAACACTAAACATGTTACATTATATAATTATCAAAATAATTAAACTGTAAAACCACTGAATAAATCTTCCACTATCTATAAGATTCATTTAAGATATTTTTATAACAAAATATTCACAATGACACCATAATAAAAACTGCAAAAATTGACAGCACAAGAATGATTATTACCATAAAATATCTTATTACTAACATTTGCAAACTATTGACTACCACATAGAGATGGAGGCCTCCTTTTGGTAGATAGATGTGTTTCCAAAGATAAAGTTCAAAAACAATGTTGAGGCAACATTTGCCAACAAATTCAACACATTTTCAAAGAAGTCTGTTGTGAGCAAAGTAGGTCACAATGGCCTAAATAATACTTGCCACTATGTATAATCAAAATAAAAAAATCCAAATAATTCAAAATAAAATGTAGATCATAATGATCCATTTACTGTATCATGGCTCATAAGTTTTCAGATGCTTCTATCTATAAATTTAATAACAAAAGGATGAAGAAACAATGAAATATGGTTTAAAAGAAGCTTACCTCTATTATTTATGTCTATTTTTTAGCTCTTGCTATGATCCGAAAATATTCCCTTGATATTTCAAATTTATCCACCAAAATCTTTAGGTTGCAACTTGCCCCATAATGCAAATAATTCACAAAGTCTGGTCCAGGAACCTACTTGGGAACAAAAACTGTTCTATAAAGTTACTTTTAATTTCAATGACCTTGACCTTTGGATCACATAATCAATAGGCATCTTAGTTACCTTAAGGGCAAACCCTGTTCAAACTTTGGTCAAGATATATCAACTAGAACCAGAGACAATATTCTTTCAGTCACATTACAATGACCTTTGACCCACAAGTCAGTAGGCCTCTTTCTTAAATAAATTATAGGTCATCTACAATTTTGGGTGACAGTAAATGGTCAAGAACTAATTTTTTTTGCATAAATCTTTTTCAGTGATAGTGACCATGACTTTCTGAAACCCAGAGCAATAGGCTTCACTGTTAATCCACACACAAGCCATTCATAAAGTTTGTACCTGGTCTGTCATAAAGAACTAAAGTTATTGTGTGGAAATTTTTCTTATTGCAGTCAGTAACCCTACCATTCAACCTTTTGACCCCAAAATAGACAGGCTGCCTCCTTTTCCCCATAAGTAGGCCATACATAAAGTTTGGTACAAATCTTGATTTTGAACTAATGTCGTGCAGAACAAACATTTGTGCACCCCAAAATTGATAGGCTTCCTCCTTATTCCAAATACAAGCTGCAACATTTGGTAATAGTAAATAGCAGAGAACTTGAGTTAATGAAACAGACAGATGAATTGACACTCATAACATAATGGCAGGTGCATGAAAAATTATTAAAACATAAAAAGTAGGTCAATCAAAATATTGTGATGTAATACATATACAAATAAAAGCATACATTTCCACAAATATGGCATTTAGACTCTCAAAGACATAGCAAAGTAGAAACTTGCCAGAAAAACTCCCACAATGTCCAATATTCCAACCAAAAACCACTCTGACATTCAAAATGATAGATGAAGATGTAAACAATAACTTGCCCCCAATCTTTAACTATGGTGGGTTGCTGACACAATGCCAGAATGAATATAACAGCCATCCATTCTTTTTGAACAGTCGAGTGCTATGACTTGCTACTATAAATGGTCAATCATGTCATAAAAAATTGAGTCTACTAGGTACCATAACTGACTGCTATATATAAAAAGTTGTGTGTATGCATGTTAAATTTTTCTACTAACCCACTATTTCAAAGTTTAACTAGAGTTACATGGATATATTATAATTTGTCTAAGTAACAACAAATTTAACATGCATCAAATTTACCTATCAACCCAATATTGACGATAATTAAAATATAATGCCTGGACTCGCATTTATAAACAGATGGTCATCTCGATTGCAGAGCTTGTTATTGATGTATCCAAAAATATCTTCAATTTATAAGCTCAAAGTTGCTAATACAAAGTCTGAATCAGACAAGATATTCCTATTATATCTGATTTTTCTGTTTTCTTTTTTTAAATGTGGTCCCTGAGGTGTTTCATTTTTTCACCAGAAATTCTTCTCTGGTACCACCTACATATTATTTGCCATATGTGTAGCACATAAGTAAATAAGCAGTGTTACATTTGGTCTCAGATTCCTCTGGCAGTACCTTCATTAATAACGAATTAACTTTACACTGAAACTGTACAAAATACTGTTAGTTCTCTTGGTATTTAATTTCCAATGAAGACAAATAAACTTTAGTTCAACAAGTTATGGGCAGTAACGTTTGTACAAATGACCACAAATAAATACAATAAAACTGTTGATTTGAGAACAATTAACCAGTATGCAACAGTGTATAAACCGTGATGAACTGCAACAAATCATCCTGATTTAGGGACAAACCCTATGTTGACTGGTTGTTTTAATGGCACTTCTAAGCATGTTATGGACTATATCTTACCAAGAAAACATGATCCAAAAGCTCTTCCCAAGGTACTGAACCTGTGTATATTGGATTGTGAGTCAGACACCCTACCAGCTGAGCTACAGAGGCTCTAAACATCTAATACACTATTACTATCCTTTATTTGATTGATCAATTATCTAAATGCAGACATACTAATCTTTAAAAGACTTTTCCAGTAAGGTAGTCAATATAATTTCAAACAGCATTCAGCAAGATGTAACGATATATGTATCAATTGGTGACTTTGGCAACATACGTTTGAAGAACTGCAAAGTATGGTAGTATAGGCAATATTATTTTCAACCAAAAAATGTATTAATGACCTTCAATTCACTTTGAGAAAATATTTCAAACCCCATCATGGTCAATGTCTCCTTGCTTCATGTGTCAATTCAAAATAATCTTTGGTTTCTTTTTTAATTCATGTGGTGGTAGCATCTGTCCTGTTGTAAGCAATATTCAAACTGATATGACATGATGCCTAATGTCATGAGTAATACTCAAACTGACTTGATGCCTAATAAATGTGAGCAATACTCAACCTGACAGGACATGTCTAATGTCATGAGTAATATTCAAACTTCCATGATGCCTAATAAAAGTTGGGAGCAATATTCGAACTGACATGACAGAATGCTTAATAAAAGTTATGAGCAATACTCAAGATGTCTCCACTGCCTTCAACATATTTTAGTTTGATGGATGACATTTCAGATGATAACAGGAGAGCAAATTCTTGATCATGATGACAATTTGCATGAAAAACATGGGCAGTAGTACTTAACTTTTAAAAAGAATGGAGGTGCAAATGTCAAGTTAGTCTGGTTCCCTGACAACTCAACTGAACTAATATGAAAACCTGGATGCAGACCAAACCTGGATAAGCAAACATTCAGTCAGATCTGACTGAAATCATCATATTTTTGCATCTTACTGGTACTGTTCCATGAATCTAATTTACGGATCATTTGAGTATGCCTAATGCTTAAGTCATTAAAGGCTGACAGGTCTGCAAACATCCTTAATGAAGATGCCTTGTTCACACTAGCACTTTTTTATTCTGGAATCGCTCTAGTTTCAATTAGGTAGATATTTTGTGAATGAATGTACAAAAATTGAGTAAATCAAGATCAATTAGCTGAGGAGTAAAGATCAAGTTTCACACTGGAGTAACTCAACCAGTCATACATTCTTCTACCATGGTACACAGAGATGTGACATTGGAATTGTCTCCAGGGGCTTATTACACATCAACTCAAAATCATTCCATTCGTATAGATTAAAATACAAATTTCAACTGACTATCAGATCCATGAATGTAATGTTTTATTTGTAACTTCTTTCTTGTACTGCACCATGCTCTGTTGGTGTAATTGTTTGAACGAATCCTACATTCAT